AGTTCATACAAACAAACACATCGTGATCGCATATTAAAACGGCATAAAAACAGGTGAGGCAACTTGCCAAAGGTGGAAATATAAAGCTACCTTAACCAGAGGTAGAGATCCAACACGTCATGGACAGCTTCCAGGTGAACCAGGTCTTTAATGTTTTTAGGTGGAGCCAGAGGCCAGCTGATGTGGCGACAGACCCAGTCAAACGTCAGGGGTTCGTCTCGACTGAATTGACGGGCAAACTGGAGAAGAAACATGATTGATCCATCAACAGTGCAGATGACATGCTGTACACACTCAAATAATAAAGTAAATGTTAAACGTATACTTTGTGTTGAACACAGTTTTAGTATTTATTATCCGATCACAGTTTTATTTACAGAACCAAATTACCTTCTATAGGTGCGTCGCTATTGCTCTAAACTAAATACTCGGAGCCTTAGCACACACGAACAATAGAAATATGCAGAACTTAACCCTTAACCTCAAAGGTTGCTCATTCGTGGGAATTTTATCTTCTCGTTTTATCAGTTTCATAAGACCATAAAAAGAATCAGGTGTGGCAGGAGGGTTATTACACTAATGCCTCACTGAGTCAACTTCCTTACCCTCATTTCATCATTTTTACTCTCCTCATCAGCACCCTCTACTGCTCACTCCTGTCCTTCCACCATTAACCTTAAATCTCTGCAGCCTTCTAATGTTTACATCCACTCACTCACCTTAAGGAAGGAGGTACATACAAAAGGCTGCTTTTTGTTGATGGGAGCAGTGCAGAAGACGTAGCGTGACCTCAGGTTAAGCGGTATGTGCTGAATCATGTCCGCCAGAAACTTAAAGTCGTCAATGTTGCAAACAAAATACAAACCATCCACCTGAGAGAGGCTGACGAATATGTCCTGAGAAGTGGGCGAGAGAACGAGAGCATTTACAATCTTGAATAAGACGTGGCTTTAAAATGTCGAACAGTAAAACTGAAATACAAAACGTGCATTTTCCTTTATGTACCCATTCACAGCTTAAACACATTTGTATTAGGGTACATTTTGCGTCATCATTTCAGCACGCATGCTGGACTTTAAAAAGGAAAGTTAAATATTAACGTCTTCAAAAAATAATAAAGAAATAAACTAATGACAATCCTTTGCTTTTAGTTTTAGCGGGTCTGCGCTGAAACACAAAACAATATTTAACTTTCATTTTGCTACAAAGGGGAAACTGTAAATATTAGTGCTGTCAATAGATTAAGAAAAATTAACCAATTAATCGCACAATTTTTTGTAATTAATCGCAATTACTTGATCAATAGCCTGGTTGCAATTACTTTTTTTTTTACTTCATATTTAAGCTTGTAACTGACATTTATGTAATATAATGAAGTAAATGCAGAATAAACAAAGAATGTGTGCTTAAAAAGAGAATTTGAATAGTTTTCTTCAATCTTTTAGCACAGGTTAAAAATGTGCATGCAGTTAAAAATTTTAATCGCGTTGACTGTGATGGCGGATAAATCTAAGTAAAGATACTTTTATGCTACTAAAAAATTACAACAGTTTTGTCATGAAAATGTTCTTTTATCAAATTATTTCATGTAATGTAATCTAGAAAGGATACATGAAGCAGCGTGCTGGACCAGTCAGTTGTATTTGTTTACATTTAGGCATTTCAGATCTTAAGTCTTAACCAGACTTAAACAGACTTTTTCAGGTGGTTTCACAAACTGTTGAGGAAAAAAAAAAAACAGCGACTAACAGCCCCAAATAAAAACATGCAGCTCCTGAAAAATTCACATTATAGTGAAATACCACCTTCTGTTTCAATCTAAAGACTGCTCAGGCTTTATTTTACCACATTGCCAACTATTTAACCCGTCTCAGTAAACTCTACTCACTGATGAAGACCATGAAATGGAGCTGGAAAACTACAAATCTTTCCCCCATTTTTATGTATTTTTTTTATTCTGCTGTTTGAAGGTCTATAATGAACATTTCAATTCTCGCACTGATCACTAAACGAGTGGCTCTACTCACAACAAGGTTGGACAGCGTTGCATCGGGCAGATGGTAAGCAAACATCTCTATCTGCTCTGCAGTTGGATGGAGTCCTGCAGTCTGAGGCAATCAAGTGGAGAATAAAATGAGAAAGATTTGTTATTGCGGGAATGCTGAACGTAGGTTTTGTGTTTGTGTGTAAAATGATCACCTCTATAGGATCGACAGAGTGACTGAGTATTTCTTTGAGGACGGGGAGATCGTCTCTGTGCATGGTTGTAACTTCTCCCTCTTTAAACTTGGAGGAGAACCTGCAACAGGTGGCAGAAGATGGAGTTTAATATAGTGGCCTAACAGAAGCTCAAAGGGATTGTCTGCGTTGTTGTTGTCAAAGGAGGCTGACCTCCCAGCACGACCAGCAATCTGCAGAGCCTGAGAAGTGCTGATGGTCTCCATCTGTTTCTCCCCTTTCTCATTAACGTTAGGCTTCACCAGACTGTTGAAGATGATGCGTTTTATACTCCTGGAGAGAGAGAAGGGGCGGTAGGGTGAAGTAAAACAGAAAGGTAAGCACACAGATGTGAGCTTGATAATGAACAATATCCTATATGGCAGAAAGCATGCAACCACTTGAAAGAGAAAAAAAACGATTGATATGGCTCTAAAAATATTTCATAAAGTATGTTTTGCACTTACAGGTTAAGCCCCATGCCTATAGCATCTGTAGCAACCAGAATCTTGCAGGGGTCATCAGGGTCATTAAACTTCTTTGCCTGGGACAGCTTGGTGCCTGTAAATCAAAACTTTGACATTTAACCATTTTTCTCCTAAAACTTGACTAAACTGACTTATTGGCTCAGTTCTGCACAAAGGCATACACTCACTGGCCATTTCATTAGACAGACCTCTTCAGCTGCTCATTAATGAGTTGCATTTACCCATGTTACGCATTTTTAAAAATGTCATCTGGTCTTTTGAGTCACCAGTTTTGCTTGGACGTTCATTGGATGGTTGGGTCAGAATTTTGCATAAGCAAGACAAAACCATGGATGCATCCTGCCTTGTAACAATTGTTCAGGCTGGTGGTTGTGTTATGGTGTGGGGGGTATTTTCTTAGGCCCTTAGTACCATCTGAGCATTGTTTGAATGCCTGAGTACTGCTGCTGACCATGTCCATCCTTTTATGATCACAGGATACCCATCTTTTGATAGCTGCTTCCAACAGAATAAAATAAAGCTCAAATAATCTCAAACTGGTTTCTAGAACATGATAGTGAGTTGACTGTTCTCAAATAACCTCTACAGTCCACAATCCAACAGAGCACCTTTGGGATGTGGCAGAACAGGAGATTAACATCTCGGATGTTCAGCTAATAAATCCACAGCAACTTTGTGATAAAAAGCTCTTCCAGCACCTTCTTTGATCTATGTCATGAAGAATTAAGACAGTTCTGAAGACAAACAGGGCTTCAACCCAGAACCAGAAAAGTGTACCTTAAGAAGTGACTAATGAGTATAAGCATTCAAGTGACAAATATAAAACCACTCAGATACTCACCTGGAGGTAGGCTCCCATAAATTACAGCACATTCTTGCCCTCTGGCCTCGATCTGCCTGCTGATAGAATAGATGTCATTTTTACTAAAGCACACAATGCAGTCTCCTGGCCTCAAGTTGTCTAATGACTCCACAGCATGATCCAGTATTGAGAAAGGAGTTAGACGCTGGTAATTGTGAACCTGCAGAGAGAAGAAGACTGAGATGAGAAAAAGGGGATCTCCAAAGATGAGGTTAGAAACATCAGCCAAAATCTTTTCTTTCAGATGTCGCGTCTATCACAGTCTCACCTCCACCTCCTCTCCAGTGGTGAACATCAGCTCTTTGATAAAGTCTATGGCTGCAGGTTCCCCACACACATGGATCTCCTCTGCACAGAGACCTGCACAAATGCACAGAAAAATAAAGTAATTTAGGTTTAAAAAAAATAAATAAATAATAATAATTACGTTTCTGAGTATGTTGTACAAACCCAGCAGGGCTCTGGTCCATGCCCATCCTCTGGAAGGATCTCGGATCATTTGAATTTCGTCGATTACAGCAACCTCATCTATAAACACATAAAACTGAGGTCAATATCTACCTTTTAATCAGTTAACATACACAAAATTTCAATAACTACCTAATATGAATTGATAACCTCTCCATTTTCTTTTTAAAAAATATATTCTTTTTTTTTTTAAGATTAAAAGACAAATGTATCCTTTCTAGATCAAGGTTTCAAACTTCATTCAGAGCCATCCTTTATAGTTTAATCATACATGGTTATAAAGGGGATTTTTGTTTCCCATGACAGATTATTTATTAACATCACAGAAACCCAGGTCAAAGAAAGAATATCAGAACAGTACCTAAAATATTGAACTGTATGTAAAGAACATTTACATAATGATTATCACAGGCGCACTTACACGGTGTAGTGACGCTGCACATCTCAATGGTGCAGGCCACATGACCAGCTGCTCGACCCTCTGGGTCCACGAAAGTCCTCTCCTCTCCAGTAACCAGGTCACATGGTACACCCTGAAGCACACAGAAAGTGCAATTAATGTCAGTATTAATAAAAACTAAGACACCTTGAGAACATACACAATGTGACCTTTCTCCACACACAAACACACTAGGACACATGAAAAGACCGTTTACACAGGAGCACAGTTACGTACAGCATCGTTGCTTTTCTCAAAGATCTCGTGGGCCAGCAGCTTCAAGGGGCCACAGTACACACCAGACTTAGCAGCCAGGTAGCGTTGGATGGCATGGTAGGTTTTACCACTGTTAGTTGGCCCAGCGTGGAAAATCACCTTCCTCTGGATGGCACGAGCCTCGGGGTACCTGGCGAGCACATAAATATGGTTTGGTAGCGGAAGCCAGAAAGCTTCTTTTAATGCGACGTGTGTGGCGTTTGGTCAGGTTTAAAATACACACCAGTTGGCCGGGACCCTGAGGTCTGAGATCTTTCTCAGGTCATCCATACAGTCCAACATGGGAAAGATCTGCTTGGCGTGACGCATGAAGTATGGATAGATGTCATCTATATGACCTGAGAAAATCAGACAGAGGAATATTTCTAAATATAACAGTCACTGAACAAACAGTTTCAACCAAGTAACAGTTACTCCATAAAGAGACAAACCTGCTCCACAGCAGATGTCGTTGAGGATGATGTGCAGGTCGGCGGGGAGTGACGTCATCTCTAGGATATACTTCCTGAAGCTGATGAAGGCCTGGTGGAACAGACGAGCTGCATGCGCATGGAGAGAAAACAGATAAGCCAAAGATATCTAGTGTTGAATTTGTGCAAATTTCCCCGCTTGTTTAAATGTACAATTCTCTTCCTAGATATTTATTCCGTTACTTTCCCATTGTTATGAGTATAGGTTAATCCACTAAGTGTTGTCAATCAATTCTTTTATGCTGACAAAGAGAAGTTCCAGTCAAAAAGTTGTAGTCAATCATTCATATATATATATATATATATA